GTAGTTAATCCCACAATCCAGAAACAAAGGACCTTAGGATCATTAAGGTTGAAGAGCACAAACGGAATGTGAGACCTAATCCAGAGAAGCAGGGATACCAGAGATGGAGGCAGAGATGGGAACATGGAAAACGGGAACATGGAAAATGAGGACTCTAGATTTGTGGGAGAGAGAGACTAAGAGATGGAGGCAGATCTGCAGAATGTACCCTTTGGTGGTGTGAATTATATATGCTTGAGTGTTTTAAGAAAAAGCTGAAGTGAATAGAGACAAAAAAATATTAACTGATAGTACATGGAGGGGATTATAATCATTGTAATGAAACAAGGTGTATGATTTGTTGAATGTAAAACTGATGATCTGCCCTGTAAATTTACACTCAATCCACAATAAGAACCTTAAAAAAAAAATTCCTACAAGAGTGTAAATTGCTACAATTTTATGAACTTGACCTATACTTGTGGATGTAGTAACTCAAAATACTGAGAGGGAAAGAGTTGTCACATCAGGGATCAAGCCTATCCCCTCTGTATACAGGGTAGATTTAGGGATGGGCAATTTAGACATTGGCTACCTAAAACGTGGGGGTGATAAAGGCATTGAAGTGACTGGCTAACAAGTTTTCAAGAGGGAGTTTAAAGTGTCCCCACTGAATGGTTTTCATCTTTTTTAGATGGATCTGGTGAAAATATATGGGGATAAGATTCTTGTGATTCAATAGTAATTATGACTAATTGCAACTGTCACAAATGTAAAGGCAAAAGTTTTAACAAAAACCTGGGGAATAGTTAATCTTACAGTCCAGAAACAGAGGGCTATCAAGGAGAAGAGCACAAGCGAAATGCGGGACCCTGTCCAGAGAAGCAGCAACATCAGAGATTAGGTCATGGTGAGACAGGGCAGCTGAGGGCTCAAGAAAATGGAATGAGAGCTGGTGGCCAGGAGGCAGGCCTGCAGAATGTGCCCTTTGGTTAAACTATAATAATAAATGATAAAATATGAAATAATTATGTATTCCTGAGTGGTTTTGTATACAACAGTCTACTCCCCCAAAAGAAGAGGGAAAGGAAGCAAATACTGTTGAATGATGCAGGGCATTGTAATCATTGCAGTGAAACAATGGTGTAAAGCCGATTGATGTTCTCCCATGTAAACTATCACTTAGTTCACAATTAAAGTATTCCTACAAAATCATACTAAACAAAAATATCAAAATGTGAAGCTATTGTTTCATGCCACTTACTACATCTAACATCTACACACTTCAGAAGGCAGTGTACTAGTATGGTGCTGTAGGATAAGCATAAGACTGCTAACCACAACACTGGCAGTCCATTTGCTCCTTGGAAACCATATGTAGGGATTGCTTAAGAGTCAGAAATGACTTGATTGCACTTACCACCCTTTCCCAGGGTGTTCTGGTGTGGTACTGTAGGATAAGCACTTAACTGCTAATCCTGTGGTTGGCAGCTCAAGCCCACCAGCCTCTTCTTGGAAACCTTTACAGGGTCGCTGAGTCAGAACCCAGGGCACTTAACATCCCCTCCCCAAAAAATTCTGCTCTGCTCAACTTAACACATCAAAATGGTAGTTTTGTCAGTTCGGACTCAGTGACCCTATATAGTTGTTTCTAAGGGAGCGGCTGCAGCTGGTGAGCTTGAACCGCCAACCTTGAGGTTCAAAATGACCTGCAATGCTACACTGCTCAAATTGTTCTGGAAACAAATCTCTCTGAAGGGGTAACATCAGGTGGATGGGACAAGGTTTTCCAAAATAATTCCTGTGAGCCCTAGCTACCCTTGAAAAAAAGCACAAGTGCTTTTTTCACCAAGGGTTTCCCATTGTCTTTCTCTTTATGTCCCCAATATTGTCCTGAGTCAAGAAAAATCTATCAAGATTGTTAAAGTGCCATTGAGGCAGTTCTGACTATTGGTCAGCAGACCAGTACATGTCCTCCAGGACCCCACCAAGACCATTAAGACTGCCCCTTTGAAATTCCTAAAAACATCACCATAACCTTCTAAGCAATCCTCTCACCAGTAAACTTAATTGGCCCAATACATGCCCTATGAAGTCAAGTTTTGATTGGACCTTTGGTGGCAGCCTAGAGATTGTGTTCCTTAGAATTTGTAGCCATTCACTTATTAAGACACATATTTAAACAAGTTTGCCTGAAATAAACCAATGCATGACTTGGAATCCTAGTAGCAATAATTTCTCACTTACCCTCATACTTACTGCAATGCTGAAAAGGTACTTTTGTGCCTGGCTACTCCTTTTAACAAGTTGCCCCCTGGCTTAAAATTATATATATAAGTAAATTGAGCTTATTTAGGAAGCGCGCTTTTATATTCAAATTTGAAGTGGAAACCAACTGTTATAATTCAAAATACTTGTTAGAATAAAACTTAGTACTTAGTAATACAATATAACAAGTTCAACAAATTAAACAATGGAAATTAAACTCACAACTGCAAGATCAAAGGATTAGTGACTGCCCTGTTATAAAGAGAGTTAAAGATTTCTAAAACAGGTCCTGACCATGCATCAGAATCACTGGAAGAATTAAGATTGTTGAACACTCCAGTTTCTGATTCCATAAACCTCAAGTGTGGCCCAATAATTTGCACTTAAAATGTCAATACTGTTGGTCTCCAGATCATAATAGAAACAAAACCCACTGCTGTTAATTTCAAGTAACAGTGACCCTAAGTGCTGTGGAGTTGGTTCCGACCCTGTATAGGATTTCCAAGTTGCTAGTGAGCTTGAACCACCAACCGTGTAGTTCAAACCAACTTTGTAGCCCAGCACATTAACTCGTAGCAGACCAAGACTCCAGTGACCCTATAGACGAGTGTTAAACAGCTTTATTTCCAAAGCTGGACAAATTTTCTGAATTTGTCTGCTACATGTCCCCCACTTAAGCAGCTTAATCACTGCATCACACAGGCTCCTAAACTTTTGAGAATCAAACTCAAGTACCATAGATTATAACTTATGGTTTCCAAGGCTTGAATCTACGGGGGCAGTCAGCCTATCTTTCTCCTGCGTAGCATGGTGGATTTGAATTGCTGACCATGCTATTAGCAGTCCAGGACTTATCCTACAGAGGCAGCCTTAACTGTTCTTCACACAAGTTTCTGTTGTTTTTAAGAAGTTCAAAATTGAGCTCACAATATTTAGTTCAAGTGTGGATTTCATGTGTTAAGCTGGAATTACTGAGTAAGACAAAAGTGTCTTTAAACACAGACTTTAATGGTAACAATTCCTTTAAGCTCAGTTAACTTTTAAACTATTACAAGTCTTATATGCAAATGTCACTATTAGACAATATTAGTGACTTGAACTGGGTTCCTCATAAAATAGAAGACAAATTCACTGAAAAGTGATTGACAAGCATATATAACAGTTTTGTTATGCCAACACAAAACATGGCTAATTTGAGTCACCCCCAAAATCACTAACACAGCATGAGCAGCATCTTAAGTATACTTCAACTAAGCCATTGAAAAAAAAAAAAAAGCGAGTGTTTCACTACCCCTGAGACCACTAGTTAACTGTGGTTCATACTTTAAAAATGTGAGAACACCCACACATGAAACTAATTATTGTTTTAGGTTTTCAATTTTTTACATCTGATTATCACATTGCAAACTTGCCCAGAACAAAATGTCATGAAAAAGGCCAAATGGACTCTATAACCCTATTGGTTAAAAGAAACGTGTTAAACTTGCTTATGCATTAAAGGATGTAGGAAATAGGCAGAGCCAAAGTCAATTCTTAATCTGCTAGTATTTACTTCAGTTCTATGCATGGCACAAGTAGTGTCAAATTCCTGGGTGGGATAGAGGGAAGGTGAGCAACATTTTGGATTCTTTTGTAGGACTGCATTAGATGTTCTTTTTAAGTCCAGTGTTCATACATTCAAAAATGTTGGTTTTCCAGGTACTTTAAATTACTGTCTGTTACACCTGGAGAAGCCTTTATGGCTTATTCCCTTAGTAGAGGCATATGAAATATTGCAGAGAGAGAGAACTGGACAAACCCACTAGTCATCCATATGACAATGATTTAAGGAAATCATCTCTAATACCTAAGTGCTGTCTAAGGCTAGAGTTCAATTTGAAAGTCAGTTAGAGACCCAAAAGCTGGTAAGTTGTTTCATTCACGGTTGGCTTTCAAGAAATGACATGCCTACTAAAGCTATTATTTTTAAGAGTATAGGAGTCTCAGAAGTCAATTACTTTGAAAACAGCCAAACATTAGTACTTTTTACCTTGTGGGTTAGTACGTTAATAGTAATTTCTCAATCGTAATTTGAATCCAAAAGAAGTCTTAACAGTACAACATCTACCCTTAAGGAGCTACCAGTATTTTTAAAGCATTAAGCATTAGAATGAAAAAATTTCACTCACTGGAAAATTGTATAGCTGGATTGATATTTCCCAATTAACTGCTTATTACAGAACTTCTTCAGAAGGCATGCATTTCAGTTCCAGTTTTAAGCAAACAACCTTAAGTCAATAAATCATGTCCAAACTACATATTAAAATGTTTATAAAAATCAAGCTTTAACATTTATTTATCTCGCTTGCCACATCTGTGTGCAGACAGGGAGTAAGACTGCACACATGTGTAAGCAGTGCAAAAATGTGAAAATGGAGAAGTCACAGATGTGCTAGATATAGAATACAGGACTATAATAAAGCAATGGACAAATCAGAATAACAAGGGGAGAGGGGGGAAGGCAAAACCACAGGGTCAGAATTAGGAAGGGTGAAGATAATGCCTTTGTTAACTACATAAGTTAAAATCAGTGGCACAGATAGCACTTGTCAAACAAAATCCAATAGCATTGACTTTTATTCATTCATGTTAAGTCACCTGAAATGATATCTGTTGCATTTAAATGCTCAATGTAAATGGCTGAACAAATCCATTTCAATGGATACTCAATATCCCACATAGAAAAGTCACTTCAACACAGCCTCATGACAACTCCCACACCAAAACAGTACTTTATTTTGTAAATTTGACCCATTATTATTCCCATTTTATGGTTTTGTTTTTCAGCTGTCAAGTGTACAAGGTAAAGAAAATTTTTAAATGGGGGGATTGCACCTGGAAAATAAATTTCTTCAACTCCATATACATGTTTCAAAACTGCTGGGTCCCAAGTCCATCTCTGAACTCCAGGGCTGCCAGTATCATGTGTAGCATACTAAAGCTACACTATTGATTAGCTTATTAATTCTGCATAAATCAGGTCAATCAATGTGTCAACCTGTAACAGACTGTGCACTTTAACTGAACATGGCAAAATATTCACTCTTTTGAACTTTACACCATCATTTGATGTCAAACAATGAAGCAAATCCCAACAGTATATACAAAAACAGCTTTGCATTTACAAAAGATTGTTTCCCATACTGATTAATCCAGGCAGCTAACTCATTGGTTTATGCAACTTTATTGAAGAAAAATAAATCAATTACTAGCAGAGCTATTAGTTGATCACTCATCCATTAACAACTTGCATCATTTATTCAGTGCTATATTAAACAGTGTACTGGAAGATAGATTAACTAATAGCTCCAAGCTTCCTAACAATTTAAATGAAAATTACAAAATGTTTGAGACCCTATTTTGGAATACAAAGGGTGTTTGACTTCCAATTTCCATTCTCTGTAGAACAAGAACAGGTCATTCCTTTATTGACATGCATAAAATACATCACATTTTCTGTTCTGCTGATGCTATAAATCCAATGCCAATTCTCCAGCCACATCAGTTATGAGCATAAAGTATATCATGTAACCTCAAATCTCTGACAGTGGAAGGTTTTAAGAATGGATGCTGCTAGAGTAATGCTGCTTCCTTTGATGTGACAATTGAGCATCCATTTCCCTCCCCCTCAGATGATCTCTTCAGCATGTTAGAGCAGTGAGGAATGGTTTTAGTCTCATAACCAAGTTAGAATGAAGACATTGGCCACATAATACACATGCTCCTTTTTTTTTTTTTTTTTAAAAACTCTGAATCTTGGGCAACTGTTCTCTTGTAACTACTTTACAGTTTCTAAAAGCAGTTATTGTCCAAAGCTGGAAGAACTTAAGTCTTCTCAGATGAGCATGTGAATGAATGAAGGGAGGTAAACAAAAAAATAAAATTTAAAAAGATGAGGTCTGATAGGGGAGCAGCCGGATAAGAAAATCAAAAAAGGAACAGTAATTTAAAGTTTATTCCAGCTATAATGCAGGTTATTCTGACTTTAAGGTAGCATCACATGGCATACTTCTGAGTCCATTCCCGAGATATTCTGTTGTACCTGAAAATAAGAAAGAATTCATTTTAAAATTTAAAATAAAGCCAAATACTTCATAACACTTACTTAAAATGGGTAGGTTTCTTTTTCATTGCCGAGTTTCACTAATGACTATGATATGAATAAAAGCCCCCAAACAAAGAAACAGCACTGATACTCAAAAAACAATGTGGGAGATGAGAGAGCTCCTAGCTCTGAAAGCAGTATTATTCTAGTAAAGCACAAGAAAGTGGCACTGAGGATTGAGAAGGCTACCAAAAACCAGACCTGTTTTCTCCCTTACCACTAAGTTAATGTTGTATTGGAAACTCTAAAATTAAGTAAAATACTCATTCTGACATTTAAACATTTAAAAAATTCTTCTGCATGTTAGGATGGCATACACATTCTATACTTTAATAAAACCAACACCCAACAATTACTTATTTAAAAAAAAAATCTAATTCTAGATTTTGAGAGAAATGTAGAAGTTACTTGACCTTGAGTATTTATAGAAGGCCTTCAAGACTTCCAGCACAAAACAGAATTAAGACATTTAGGAGAGTAAGTGTTATCAGAACGTATAAGAGGTGAGTGCTATGTATTCAGAAATACTATATTACTTTCAAAATGGGTGGTCATTAGAATTAATAAGGCCTTACTAGAGACTTGCTGAATGGGAATTGCTAGAAGTAGAAGCCAATCATCTTTGTTAGAAAGATCATCAACAGTTTATTCATATCAACAAGGTTGCTACAGAGGAAAATCACTGATAAAACAAATGCCATCAATTTCTCTGACTTATACCCATGCTACAAGCTACTTATCCCAATCATCCAAGTAAACAAATAAACAGAAATACAGTGATAACTTTGAGTTTTTATACCAAAGAACACAGAATATTCAAATTTACTTCTCTAGTTTGAACTAAAAAAACAAAACTGACTTATTTCCAAACCAAAAATTAAATGCAATTCAATTACTTTTCTAAATTTTAAGAAACATTCTTTCTATCCTATTAACAGTTATCTCACATTTAACATATCCTCTCAAAAAGCCAGTACTTAAAACAGACTTCATTTAGCAAACAAAGAGCCACAAAGTATAGCTAACACTAATGCATGCTTGTCAGTAATAAACATTTAGTTAAGATGCTTAGGATTAAGTTTTGCCCTCTTCCCATGACATTACTATTTACTGACAAAAATTTGGACTGAATTATCACACTCCATAAAATACTGAAATATAAAAAGATTTAAAATAAAAATGTAAATGTTAATTTTAAAAAGATACCTAAATTTTCATTTACTATTACTATAAAATTATTTTGCCATGCAAGAATACTTTCAAGCAATAATTACTCAGTATACTTTCAAGCTGAACAGAGAGATCAAGCAGTTAAATGCAGTTTTCAGAAAACCGCAATCTGTTGTTACCTTTTGTTAGTTATATAGTGCCTTAAAGCATGCAGCACTCAAGTGCTGGCAGTACCATGAATAAGCGCACCATAGAGTGCAGTTCCTCTTACCCTACAACATAGCGTATTTCTCTGTCCACTCTCTTGCTAACCTATTGTACCTAATTGAACAAGTATACTTAGCATTAATTATAACATACGCAGGTTTTAATAGTGATGTTGAACATAAAGACGCCAAATATTTGAGAAATTTAGATAATTTTTTCTAAAAATATAATTGAATCAAGAAAAATTTGCTTTCTTCCAAAACTTAATACTTTAAGAAACAGTGTTTAACATGCTTGCAAAATACATTAAAAATTTATGATTCTTTAAACGATCATAGTTCAATAGCTAGCTTTCTGGCACCCTTCAAGTATAATCTTATCAGAAATTGGCAAAAAGCCTTACTGACATCGACATAATTTTTTGTTATTTAGCACTGTCGAGTCAGTTCTGACTCCTAGCAACCCTGGTAAAGGGTTTCCGACAAGAAGCCAGTGAGTTTGAATCGTCGACCTTGCGGTTCTAGTCCAGTGCATTATTTCTGCAGCACCAGACCAGGACATAACTTACAGCAGACTATAAACGCAACCAGTTAAAAACCTCACTTTTTCTTACTCCCATAAAGATATTTCATACTTACTTATCTCTGTCTGTTTTATAGATCCGTGCAATCTCTGGCACTAGGGGGTCATCTGGGTTCGGATCACATAGCAGTGAACAAATGGATAAAAGGACTGCAAGAAAACAGATGCTTGTTATTCAACATAAGGCACTAGTATCACAAAGCATTTAGAAACACATAAACGTAAATCTTCAAGAGAAATATTAAGTTTATAACTTAATTTCCATGAAACAAACGTTTACAGAGATTTTGCATCACAAAAGAGAAGTTCCTATTAAACATTATCAAACTCAGGAGAAGTTCTAAGGTATCCACCAAATGATGATATATTAGTTAATTCCCTATTTTAAAAATAGGTAGTTTATTAAATGTTTTGTTCCTTGAATTTATAAAGCAATCCACAGTGGTATGAATCAATCTAATATGGAAATAGAAGCCATGTCCAAACAAATTCATTGCTGTCAAACTGATCTTGACTCATAACCACGCAATACAGGGCAGGGTAGAAAACTACCCCACAGTGTTTCCAAGGTTATATATTTTTATAAGAAGCTGACTGCCACATCTTTCACTACAGAGAAGCTATTGGGTTCTAACCACAGACCGTAGCAGCTGAGGGCTTATCACTACACCACCAGAGCGCTTTATTTATATAGCCCTAAGACTACTTACTTTCGGTATGGATTTCATCTCAATGTAAAGAAACCAAAATCCTCACCACTGGACCAATAAACAACACTATCTGGTAGAGTGGTGGTTATGAATCAGGCTGTGAACTGAAGGTCAGCAGTTCGAAACTACCAGTTGCTTTGTAGGAGAAAGATGAGGCTTTATGCTCCCATCAAGATTTACAGCCTCAGAAACCCTGTAAAGGTTGCTATGATTCGGAACCGACTCCACGGCGCGTAACAAGACTACTTACTAGTTAAGCGGAAAAATGTCAAAATGTCTCTATGTTCTGAGCCTTCAACTTTATTTCTTATCCTTATCTGTTTATCATACCAACACAGAAGATGCCAAGTATCAGGCATAGATCATGTTCAGTTCTAATGTTTATTATGTAATAGTAACCATGCAAAGTGTTAACAAAAAACAGCACTTTGGTTTTGGAGAACATCTTAAGAGACAAAATTACACCAATAATGAAAAAAAAAACAAAAAAAAAACAAACCCAAAACCCCCTACAATAATAGCTCTGACAGCAGAAAATATATAATTATTGCCCCCCCCCCAAGTGGTTCTAGTCAAAAGTTCAAAAAATGCTTTATAATCTAAGAGATTCAAATGCATTGTATGCTAAGTGCAAGGCTTGCAGTTCAAACCCACCAGACTATCCACATGAGAAAGACAAAGGTATCTGGTTCCTTAACGATGTATAGTCTCAGAAACACTGTAGAACAGTTCTACTCTGTCCTACAGGGTCAATGTAAGTTAGAACTGACTCAATGGCAGTGGATGGGGTGGAGTAAGGAATGCTAATACCAAAACCAGAAAATTATTAGAAGCAGATCTCCTATCACATTAAGGAGTTGTTTTGTGGGTAGGCAATTTTATTGTGTGGTGAAAGTAACATAAAAGACACTGTTACTGTTCTTAAAAGAGAAAGAGATGGAATGACATTATTTGGGATATTCACATCAACCTGTCATTGATGTCATATAATGGATCTCTACTATAATTTTTGTCATTAAGTGCTGGCAAGCCGATTCCGACCCATAGTGACCTTGTACAGGGTTTCTAAGGAGCAACTGGTGAGCATGAACCACTGACCTTGCAGTTCAAAGCGACTTTGCAGTCCAGCGCATTAATACACAGCGCCACAACACCAGGACTCTATAATTAGAAGACCAGAATTGATCTAGCGATCCATCCTAGTCTAACATTTAGAAATAATCTACAATATAACACCTAATGTTTTTAAACCCAAAACTAATAAACACAGAAAGCAAAACAGAAGGTTTCCCACAATGGAAACCTCAAGATTTAAAGACACTAGTAGTTAGTGGTTGCTAACCTCAAGGTCAGCAGTTCCACAAAAGAGGCTTTTTGCTTCTGAAAAGATTTACCGCCTCGGAAACCCTGTACAGGGTTCGCTATGAGTCGTAACCAACTCCACATACATAACCATCACCACTACCACCAGTCAGTAAGTAATAACATTCTAGTTAAAAGGCAACAAGTATGTGAATGAGATGTGCAAATGGCTTAGGACTGAAAACAAAGCAGAAAAAAAATTTTTAATTTCCCTATTTGTCATAAAGGTTAATTCAGGCAAAACAACCTCCCACTACATATACTAATTTGTATTTCAGAATCTTCCCACAAAATCTCCTTAATCAATACTGCTAAAGCATCAAATGATATAAATTATTTCTTTCCCACCTCTTAAACTGAAAAGTTGGCAGAAGAGATACAAGAGTCATATAAATAGATCCCCAAATGAAATTTTATTGACTTTAAAAGCATTTTACCTTTAGAAATAGTTAAAGCAGGAGACCACTGTGATCTTAGAATATCGAGACAAATGCTGCCATTACTGTTAATATTTGGATGATAAATTCTTGTTGTAAATGCAACCTAAAATAAACAAAAAAATTTTCAGGTATTTTTCTCAAATCAAAACAAGCATCCCAAAAAGATATTGACCAAGACTGAAAAAAAATCCAGAAAACCAAATAGCCAATATCTAATTTATACACACATAAGAAAACAATGAGCAAAAATTTTAAAAATGGATTTTAAATTCTGACCCAAATCCCATCAAGCTCTCTTTTCAACTCAAGTGAAAATATGACTTTGGAGAAAAAATGTTAGTATCAATGAAATGGCATAACTTTCACCTTACCACAAGGAGCACTGAAAAGCCATTTGGAAGATATTTAAACATGAGGGAGCTTCAAAAATATTTGTGGGGAAATTCCATTATGTTTCAATTCTATTTCCCACAAATTTTCTGAAGCCCCCTTATACATTCATTACAAAGTAAGGAACTTCTGAATGTAGCTAAAATTTATAGACCAGCTCAGTATATTACTTTTAAGTTATCATTCAGTTTCACATATAGAATGTGACTCTGTATTTCCAATGCACATAAACATAAATTTGAATACAGGCAGTCCCTAGGTTACTAATGTTTGATTTATGGTCAACTCCTACTTTAATGCAGTTTCCAACTGGTTCTGCCTACGACAAATGAAACAAAACACGAATAGACCTCTAGATTTTCAAAATTTATGTGACTTGTCACAGTAACTTTGAGTGAAGGTGAATATTTATAATGCTATGTACAGGACACTATGGTAAAGAATCCAAATCAGTATAAACACTATAAAGTTAAAAAAAAAAAGTACCTATATAGTACATTTGAGCCTTACAACTCTAATGGATAGGGTACATGTTATCCCCATTACAAAGTTCAAGTCCAGGTCCCACTCTTTTAGCTAAAGGTCGAGTCAGAATTATGCATCTATCTATCTATCTATCTATCTATCTATCTATCTATCTATCTATCTATCTATCTATCGTTTCAATGTCTAAAAATACTCTGAAATAAAATATTAAATATTAGACTGAAGGGGGAATACTTGCCTTAGGTGGTTTGAAGGGGTAGTCTGTAGGAAAATGAATTGTCAAAAAGAATACACCGCCTTGATATGGGCTGTCATTCTATAGGGGAGGAAAAAAAAAAACTTCACTCTTGATATTTTCATATTGCTAAATACTTTGTAATATTTCTATTTCTTTGCATTTCTCTAATAATGAATCAAGCTTACCTACTTATAATCAAAACTTACTTTACTTGGAGTACTGGTGTGGTGCTGTGGGATAAAGTACTGGATTGTAAAGTTGGTTTGAACCACACAGTTGGCGGTTTAAACTCACCAGCAGTTTCTTGGAAACCTGACGTTGTTAAGTGCCATCTGAGTCAGTTCTGACCCATAGCAACCCAGTATAGGGTTTCAGAGGAGCGGCTAGTGAGCCTGAACCACTGACCTTGCAGTTCAAACCAACTTTGTAGTCCAGCACATTAACCCACAGCGCCGTATCAGGAAACCCTATACAGGGTTGCTATGAGGCATAACAAACTCGAAGACACTTAATAACAACAACACATAAGGCTCCTGACTCCCAAAAAGGCAAAAAGTATCCTGGAAAGAAGAGCAGTTAGAGTGCTCCTTGGAAATGAGGGCATGAAGACTTACTCTCACATACTTTCAACATTCTATAAGGAGGGAGCAGCCCCTGGAGGACATCATCCTCTAACTAGAAGTTCAGTGAAGAGGAGGAAGACCCTCAAAAAAAGGATGGATAAATATAGTGGCTGCAACAGTGGGCACAAACATTTTGAGAATGGTGCAGGACTGAGTAGAATTTTGTTCTGTTATACATAAGGTCACTATGAGTCTGAATCAATTAGATAGCACCTGACAACAAAATGGCAATGACTTACTTACTACTGGCATGCCTGCCTTTACTCTGCCTCGCTATCTATCACTACCCAATTTATAACTCACTCTAAGGCTGAACTGGTCTAAGACATGAGATACTCTCTGGATTAACATCTACCAAAGTTTTCAAGACAGTTTAAATTCTTAAGCACCAAAACTTCCCCAAATGAAACCAGTTGTCAAGTTAATTCCAACTCATGAAGATCCCATAAGTTTTGTAGAATGACACAGCATGCATAACAAAATAACTCAATGGGATAAAAAAAAACAGACCAATCATTTTACTTCAGAGAAGTTTTTGTACACGATTCTGGTCAAGCTGCTACCGTTTACATTATTCAGAGATAGAGTGCTTTCTTCTATGACTTGTGATATACTGGGTGCAAGTTAGTGTGGTTCTCCAAATAATTTTTAAATCTCTTCCTGTCCATTCCATTTCAAATGGAGGGGAAAGTAAGCATGTAATTTATCAATAGCAATATGTAAACAAAGGCAATTTCTACCCATTGTATCACTCACACGGGGAACTTTCAACTGATGCATTTTACAGTTAAGGATTAAGCTGGCATCTAAGCTTGTAAATTTACTAATGTAGGAATGGGGACTAATCAGAAGACTCATATGAACACTGCCTATTTTTAAAACATTGTTCTTTTTAGGTGTTATCGAGTTGGTACAAACTCATAGTGACCCTATGCACAACAGAATGAAACACTGCGTTGTCCTCACAATTGTTGCCACCTTGGGCCAACCTCACAATTGTTGCCACGCTTGAGCCCACTGATGCTGCCATTTTGCCAATTCATCTTGCTGGGGGGTCTTCCTCTTTTTCTCTGACCTCTACACTTTACTAAACATGATATCCTTCTCCAGCAACTGGTCCTTCCTGACAATATGTCCTGGCCTCCCAGGAGCACTCTGGCTTTACTTCTTCCTTCTTCCAACACAGATGCTTGTTCTTTTGGCAGCCCATGGTACTTTAAACATTCTCTTCCAAACTCAAATGCATCAATTCTTCTACTGTCTTCCTTATTTACTCTCCAACTTTTGGATGCATATGAGATTAGTGAAAATACTATGGCTTGGGTCATTATACAGACCAAATTGGTTAAAACACTGTTATTTACTATCTGTAGGAGAAATCACTATACTGTAACTAAGTTAGATAAAAGCACTTTAAACAAAACTTTTAAAAAAGTGCAAGTATGTTCTTGAGATAACTGGAAATACTCAATCCGGACATACTTTAAAATTCTGAAACTAAATTATACAACCATAATTTGACTTAAGTGCTTTTGGAGTCAGTTTTGACTCCCAGGAACACTATATGGGGCTTTCAAGGAACAACTGATAGGTCTGAACCACTGGCCATGTGTTTAGCAGTCCAGTGCTTATCCTGCAGAGCCACACCAGGAAAATGTCTTTGTTGCTGTATGCCTTGAAGCCAATTCCAATTCATGGCAACCCTATATGGGTTTTCTGATAGTGGCTGCTGGGTTTGAATTTGTGGCTAACAGACCAGTGCTTATCCTACAGCACTGCATCAAGGCTACACAAATCTCACTTACTCTAAGTCAATTACCAACACTATTATTGTCTGCTGTAGCCTCTGTCTCATCTTCAAGGACTATCAACTAATATGACTATAATTCAAATTTATGCACTAATCATTAATGCCAAAGATGAAAAAAATTGAAGACTTTTACCACTATCTGCAGTCTGAAATTGAGCATACATGCAATCATAAATCACTGAAAATTACTTATGATTGGAATGCATAAGTTGGAAACTAAGGATGTATTGTTATTGTTGTTAAGTATCGTGGAGTCAGTTCTGACTCACAGAGACCCTGCTCAGGGTTTCCGAGACGGCAAAACATCTTTCTCCCACAAAACAGCTGGTAGTTTCGAACTGCCAAACGAGCTTAGCAGCCCAATTCCTAACCACTACAGTACCAGAGCTCCTTAAGGATGTATTGCTGTTGTTAGGTGCCATCGGAACAAAGAAGAACTAAACACTGCCTGATCCTGGGCCAACCTCACTAATTTTGCCACGCTTGAGTCCATCGATGCTGCCAACTGGCCAATCCATCTCCTTGGGGGGGTTCTTCCTCTTTTTCTCTGACCTTCCACCTCACTAAACATGATATCCTTCTCCAGCGAATGGTCCCTCCAGACAATATGTCCGAAGTATGAGAGATGAGGTTTGACCATCTTGGCCTCCCAGGAGCACTCTTGGCTGGGGTTCTTCCAAAATGGACCAGTTGATTATTTTGGCAGCCAGTTGGCACTTTCAATATTCTCCTCCAGCAGCACCATAACTCAAAAGTGTCAATTCTTCTACTGTCTTCCTTATTCACTGTCCAGTTTTTCCATGCATAAGAGGTTAACTGAAAATACCATGGCTTGGGTCAGGTGCACCTTAGTCCTCAAGTTGACATCTTTGCTCTTCAACACTTTGATCTTAATCAGTATGTTTTAAGTCCTCTTCACTTTCAGCAACCACGGTTGTATCATCTGCATACTGCAGGTTGTTAATGAGTCTTCTTCCAATCCTGATGCCACTTTTTCTTCATATATCACTGCTTCTTGGTCCAGACACAGATTTCTCATGAGCACAATTAAGACCCATCAGACACCAGCAATGATATCACTTGTTCCATGGCCTCTTCTGAATCTGGCTTTAACCTCTGGAAGTTCTCTGTTAATGTATGATTGTAGCCGTTTCTTTATTACCTTTCTGGAATGGGCACAAATACAAATCTCTTCCAATCAGTCGGCCAGACAATTGTCTCCCAAATTTCTTGACAGAGATGAGTGAGTGCCACCTGTGCTGCCTCACTTTCTTGAATTCCATCAATTCCTGTTGCCTTGTTCTTTGCCAATTCCTTCAATGCACCTTGGACATCCTCCTTCAGTATCATTGGCTCTTGATCATTTGCTATCTCTTGAAATGGCTGAGTATTAACCATTTCCTTTTGGTACAGTGACTGTGCATTCCTTCTATCTTCTCTTGATGCTTTCTGCATCATTCAATAATTTGCCCAGAGAATCTTTCAATGAGTCGAGGTTTCAATTTTTTCTTCAGTTCCCCCAGCTTGAAAAATGCTGAGCATTTTCTTCCTTTTTTAGTTTTCTGATTCCAGATGTTTGCACATTTTGTTGTACTATTTGGCTGTATCTTCTCGAGCTGATCTTTGAAAATTTCTGTTCAGCTATTGGACCTCTTCATTTCCTCTATTTGCTTTAGCTTCTCTACGCTGGAGAGCAAGTTTCATTGTCTCTTTTGACATCCATTTTGACCTTTTCCTTCTTTCTTGTCTTCTCAATGATTTTTTGCTTTCTTCATGTATGATGTTCTTGATGTCATCATCCCACAACTCTTCTGGTCTTCGGTCTTTAGTGTTTAATTTATCAAATCTGTTCTTCAGATGATCTCTAAATTCAGGTGGGATATAGTCAAGGTCATATTTTGGCTCTCGTGGACTTGTTTTCATTTTCTTCAGCTTCAGTTTGGATTTGCATATGAGTAATTGATGGTCTGTTCCACAGTCTGCCCCTGGCCTTGTTTTGACTGATGATATGAAGCTTTTCCATCATCTTTTTCCACAGATGTAGTCAATTTGATTTCTATGTATCCCAACTGGTGAGGCCCATGTGTACAGTCGCCTCTTATGCTGTCTAAAGAAGGTATTTTAAATGAACAAACCATTGGTTTTACAAAATTGTATCAGGCATTCACCAGCATTCATTTTGATCACCAAGGCCATATTTTCCAACTACTGGTCCTTCCTGTTTGCTCCCAACCTTTGCATACCAAATCAATACATACTGATCGCATGTTTGATCCATTTCAGATTGAAGAAGTCAGTAGAATTCTTCTATTTCATCCTCACTGGCTTTAGTGGTCGGTGCGTAAATTTGAGTAATAGTGGCATTAACTGGACTACCCTGTAGGCACATGGATATTATCCTATCACAGACAGCGTTGTACACCTCATGAGCTATCGGGATATGTTCTTTTTGACAATGAATGCAACACCATTCCTCTTCAATTTGTCATTGCCGGCATAGTAAACCATGTGGTTGCCAGATTCAAAATGGCCAATATACCAGTCTGTTTCAGCTCACTAATGCCTAAGATATAGATGTTTATGCATTCCATTTCATTTTTGACAACTTCCAATTTCCCAAGATTGATACTTCGTACCTTCCACATACCAATTTTCAATGGATGTTTACAGCTGTTTCTCTTCATTTTGAGTTGTACCCCAACAGCAAATGAATGTCCTGCAGGCTTTTCTCCCACAGGCTTTACTTCATTAGTGTTATCACGGTCAACTCTACTTTGAGGAAGCAGCTCTTCTCCAGTCGCATTTTGAGTGCCTTCCAACCTGAGGGGCTCATTGTCAGGCATCATATCTCTGCTATTCCTAAGGTTTCAGTGACTAAATATTTGGTATTAGTTCGTCACTTTCCTCCTACTCTGTCTTCGTCTGGAAGCTCATCTGAAACCTGTTGACCACAGGTGACCCTGCTGGTACTTAAAATACCAGTGACATAACTTTCAGAATCACAGCAACTCACAAGCCACCACAATACGACAAACTGACAGATGAGTGATGGCCATTTGGTTTTAAGTGGAAACTGTCACTTTAAATTTCAAGGAGATCTGTGCACATGTGTAGTAGAACCCTCCAGGGGTGGGGTGTCTATTCGCTCAGGCATCCCCTAGTAGCTGGAAAATACAGTCTTGGTGATAGAAATGACATTGGGGGAAATCACATGATAAAATTTTGCAGGACCAATGGACTGATTCACTGGAAATACTGTTTTATTGACAACATAAATTGCAGCTATATATGTGAACCTCAACAGATGGAACTTGTAGGAATCAAATCAACTACATCTGTGGAAGGACACCACATATAATACCAAATATCATCAGTCTGAAGAAGGCAAAAAGGGCCAAGAGTGGTATAGACCATCATTTGCTCATGTGTGAGTTCAGGCTGAAGTTGAAGAAAATTAAAATAAGTTAGTGAGCTCCATGAGTACACTCCACCTGAATCTAGAGGCCATCTCAAAAACATATCTGACTGAAGAGTAGACCAGTTATGGAATGATACCATTGATATTATACACGTAGATATCAAAAGGTAGTTAAAAAGACAGGAGAGAAAAGCCCATTATGGATCTCAGAAAAGTCTCTAAAACTTATTCTTACACAGAGCAGTATAAAGCAAATGGAAGAAATGATGTAAAAGAGTTAAACAGATGATTTCAAATAGTCTGAGAAGACAAAGTATGATAATGAAACGTGCCAAGGCCAGTAAGAAATTAAGAATGGAAGAAACCGTCAGCATTTCTATAGCAAAAAGAACTGGGGCAGAGGGGAGAGGGGTCTAAGTTGAACTAATGACTGATTCTATGAGCAAAACAATGAAAACAATAGCACCATAAGAAGACAGAAGGAATATAACTACTGAACAACAAGCAAATGTTGATGTCCAACCATTTCAGGTGGTAGTATATGATTAAGATTTGATTTTAAAAGACGAAGTACAAGCCATACTGAAGTCATTGGCGAAAAACAGAGTTCCAGGAATTGATCGAATACCAACTGAAATGTTTTAACAAATGAATGCAAAGCTGGTAGAGAAATTTGGAAGGCAGGTACCTAGCCAACTGACTAATAGATTCATATTTGTGTCCATCCCCCCAAAGGTGATCCAATAGAATGTAGAAACTATTGATCAACATCATTAATGTCACAGGCAAGTAAATGTTGCTGAAAACTCAAAAACAGTTACAATACATAACAGGGAGCTACCAAAAACTTAAGCTGTATTTAAAAGATGAATCTTGGTTGAAAACAGAACATAATATGCTTATATCTGCATTTTACTGAATATACAAAGGACATATCATCACTCACTATTCTCTCAGGTTTCTGGGAAGTTGCTACCCAGTTGTAGTACATGCTCCTGCCTGGGGGTGGGTGTAGGTGTTGAGGGGAACATTCATTTCCCAGGGATCATGAAAGGGTTAAGTGTTCTGGAATTCTTCTTCTTGCCATTGTTATTTAAAATTAGTCATGATGCCACACAATTGAATGCCTTTGCATATTCAGTAAAATGCAGATATAAGCATCTTATGTTCTGTTATCAGCCAAGATTAATCTTTTAAATCCAGCTTAAGTTTCTGGTAGCTCCCTGTCATGTATTGTAACTGTTTTGAGTTTTCAGCAACGTTTACCTGACTGTGACATTAATGAATTTCTACATGAATCTGAAAAAATGGGTCTCACACCCTACTAATCCACTAGGACATAATTATATCAAAATGCGTATTACCTTAACCTTGTCCCCAACCCCTATTTTTGCATGCTGTCAGTTACTAAAAACACAGTTGTTGTTAAGTGCACCAAGCTGCTACCAAACTTGATAGTGACCCATAGTGTTTCCAAGGTTGCAAATTTCTGTTGAAGGAGAAAGCCTCATCTTTCCTCCTGTGGAGTGTCTGGTGGTCTTTAATAGTCAGCCCTGTGCCTCACAGTCATTAGTGCTTATCCTACAGAACCACCATTCGCCCAAAACACATGGTATCAACTAAAAGTCAAAGCAGAAAATAATTGTGTCATGCCAGATTTACTGTGTTCATGAGGAACCTATACACAGACCAAGAGGTATGTAGTCTTTGGAAAAGGGTAAGTGGATATTTTATGGTTTAAAATCAGATAAGGTGTGTCAGGGTTGTATCCCTTCACTGTACTTATTCAATCTGTGGTGGTGGTTATATGCCGTGGAGTTGGTTCCAACTCATAGTGACTCTCTATATGGTTTCCAAGGTTGTAAATTTTCACTGGAGCAGAAAGCCTCGTTTTCTTCCCATGGGGCAGCTGGTAGAGTTGAACTGCTAACCTTTTTGGTTAGCAGCTCAGGTCATAATTCACTATGGTAACACTGAGTAAATAATCTGAGGAGCCAGACTTTATGAAGAGTGTGGCATCAGGATTAGAGGAAGACTCATTAACAACCTGCACTATGCCAATGCCAATCTTGCTTGCTCAAAGAAAAAAGGACTTAAAGCACTTCCTGATGAAGACCAAAGACTATATAGCCTTCAGTATGGATTACACCTCAACATAAAGAACAAAAACCTTCACGATCAGACCAAAAAGCAACATGAACAAAATACTGAAGCATTTAATTTTACTTACATAATCAATGCCCACAAAAGCAGCAGTCAAGAAACTAAAATGACATTTTGCAATGGGGAAATCTGCAAAACACCTCTTTTTGGTGTTCAAAAGCAAATATGTCACTTTTAGGACTAAGATCTGCCTGCCTTGGTATTTTTTCAATCACTTCACATGCATGTGACACCTGGATAATGAATAAGTAAGATCAAAAAAATCTAAGCCTTAGAATTATGGTATTGGTTAAGAATACTGTCTCTACCACAGACTGCCAGAACAATAAAACTGCCTTGAAAGAACTGCAGCCAAACGCCCCTTAGAAAAGACACTGGTGAAACTCAGTCTATACGTACTTTGGACATGTTAACCAGGAGGGACCAGGTTCCTGAAGGGTAGAGGGTCAGTGAAAGAGTAAGACCTTCCATGAGATACTGACAGAGTGGCTGCAATAATGCTAAAACATAGCATAGATTGTGAAGATAGCACATGATTTAACCTAAAATTTTTCTATCCTGTCACTTCATCAACACATCACTTACTTCTTACAAACTTGTGTTAAATAAATGTTTGTCTCATCCATTACTTTATAAGTTCCCTAAATATTGGGAGAGATGGGTCATGTCTATTATTTATTATATTCACTTAACACTTGGAACACAGCAGATGCTCACAGTTGATGAAAGAAAAAAAGATTAAGTGATCTCAAATGGAACTACTCAAAACAAAATACCAACTGACTGACCCATTCTACTGGTTAACTGCCCTAGGGAATATCTTCCTTTAGAATTACTCTAGTTATTGTTTATTATCTTACCTCATACATACTGTTTATCTAGCGATAAAAACAGCTAAATGCAAAGAAAGCAGAAAATTTTCAGTAAGATACACATCTATGTAATTTAGAACAGAAATCCGAAAGTGCCTTCTCAAGTCAAAGGAAATGTTAAGCATTTTGTAAGATACACAGTCCTACTCTCTGGGTGTTCTACTGTGCTGATTGTCTTGAATGGTATTAATATTGAACATTTAATTATCTAGCTTATAGCTTCTTATCAACAAAAAAAAAAAACAATTTTGCTATGTTCAAATTATCACTTTCTATCTAAAATACTCAAATTGTCTACGAAATTCAAGTGATATACCAAGTGAATAAGTCACTACGCTAGTACATTTCCTTCAGAAAAGCAGTTACTACCATGGCATATTTAAAACAGAATAATTACTGTGTAATTAAGTATACTAAAGTTCAAGTTAAAAATTACAACCAGATCAATGATGAATTTATTAAGGAAAAACAAAACTTTAAAATTCTTAATACTTACAGGTCCCATAATTGTGGCTTGCCAATGAAACACTAGAAAAAGAAAAACTCTTGTTATTTAAAAAATCCATAAGCTGTTTTCAAATTAGCTAAAGAATCAACTTGAAAATTACTTACTATCATCCCCAACTGGACCTGCAGAACATTGTGCTGGAGGGTCACGGGCCAAATCACTAAGTTCCTACACCAAGACAGAAAATGATGGGTCATATAACCTTAATAAAAAACACAATCAAAGTGCATCACAAATGCTTCCAGTAACCTTTACCCTGTTCTTTAAGAGACAAGCAAATCGTATTCACAGCAACAAAATAAGGGGGCTTTTGAAAAGTTCATGATTTTCCAAGAAATGTTTTAGGACACCCCCGCCCCCTGCATATATTTCCACTGTCGTTAAGTGCTGTAAAGTTGGTTCCGGCCCATAGCAACCGTGTATAGGGTTTCCAAGGAGCTTGAACCATCAACCTTGTGGTTCAGATATAAATTACGAGTAACAGCACAGTGCCTAAAACATGGCTGGCATAGCTGTTTAATGACATGCTTGGATAATTATCTTGGTTAGGGTTCATAAAAGTGCATCTAGAAAAAAAACTCACAAAGAGCTAAGGAACCTTTTTATTCGTATAATCTCTTTACTCCTTTCAACTTAATCTTGTCTTTTATGCAACAGCCATTTAAAAATTATTCTTAAAATTCCAATTCTGAAAGAGGCAGTTTCCACAATTCCATCTGAACTAATATTTCTAACAAATACCAACCACTTCATGACTTGTAATAGCAAGAAAACAATGTAGGTTTTTAACAGGCTTTAAAAAAAATCTTATGACATAGTTCCATCTTAACAATATAACCAATAATCATGAAAAACTAAAAATGAGATAGCATCCCAATTTAATACAAATGTTATATTCATCATTTTCAAATTTATCTCACATTCAGTCTAGAACACAAATCATCAAGAGTTAAAACTAATTTTTTAAATTACAACTGAACTTGGGAATTTTTTTCTCTCTTTTTGTCTAAATGTGTAGACAATGAACAGAGATGTTTGGGACTCAATTTGAGTAACAAAACAGAACAAAAAGTTATAATGAACTTTTGTGCAAAAATTAATGGTGCTGGTGCTAATGTGAGACTGCAAAGTCATTTGAACTGCAAAGTCGGTGGTTCAAAGCTCACCAGCTGGCTCTTTGGAAACCCTACACAGGGTCACTATGTGTCGGAATCGACTCGATGGCACAACAACATGTGTAACTAAACATGTGTTTAACATACAATTGTTAAGTGCCATAGAGTTGGTTCAGATTAGGCGCGACCTTATGTAGGGTTTCTGAGGAGCTACTAGTGGGTTTGAACTACCAACATTGCAGTTAGAAGCTCAATGTTTATCTCACAGCACTGTATCCTGGACCCTATTTAATAATTTATTTCCTATAACTGCAGGAATTGGATTAAGTGGAAATAAATCTCTAAACCAGTTACAATCATTTTCTCTTAACTCTGATCTTTGCTTTCCAGTGCAAACTCATCAATCTAAAATCCAGTATAAATCCCCAAGAAAAGTGTAGAACAGAGAAATTAATATCTCAATTTAAATTCCAGAATAATCACTGTGTGGTAGGAAATGGTACCATTCACTAACACAGGAAATAAGCAAGCTATGACTACTACAGGAGAAAAACAAAACTACATTCAACACACACATTCACACACACTTTAATTTCTAAGGTCCTTGAAAAGCCAGGTGTTCTTCAGTTGCTTTTTTTTCCCACTACTCAGTAAACAGCCTTATTGTTTGCTAAGTACTGTCAAGTTCGTTCCGGCTCATAGCGACCTTGTATTGGGTTTCCCAGTAGTGGCTGGTGGGTTTCAACTAGCAACCTTGCGGTCAGCAGTCCAGAAGCTTATCTTACAGCATCACACTATGCCAACACTGAAAAAAATGTAACTTCATGGAATTGAGCAAGAGGGAAGGAAAGGGCAATAATAACTTTCACAAGACCAAATGATGGGACAGTTTTTATTATCACTATTAATTATATTCTATGAATCCAATTCCAACAAATTTAAAGGTCCTTGTGCACTGGACTGCAAAATCAGTTTGAACCACATGGTTGCTATGAGTCGGAACCGACATGCTGGCATTAAACAACATTATCCTTGTTGCCAAGTATTGTCCCAGTTTTCACCTAACTGTCCTGATATATGCCACTGGGCAAAACCCTTACTGGGGATTTTCTTTTAAAAAAAAAGAAAGGTAGGTAGTATTAGACCAGTTGCCACTGATTTGATATGAATTTGGTGGTACCCCATATGTGTCAAATTAGAACTGTGATCCACAGTGCATACACAATTCACAAGCTCTTTCTTCTGAGGTAGTCTTGACTGGTTAGTAATGAAGTATCCAGGAACTCCAATGCTGGTACTGTTGTTAGGTATCACTGCGTGCGTTCCAACTCAAAGTAACCCTTTATAGTCCTGCACCATCCACACAATTATTCCTACATTTAAGCCCATTGTTTTAGCACCACTGTCAATCTATTTCTTTGAAGGTCTTTCTCTTTTTTCATTGATTCTCCACTTTACCAAGCATATTGTCTTTCTCCAGGGACTAGTCCCTCCTGATATGTTCAAAGTATGTGACATGAAGTCTCACCATCATGCTTATAAGGAACATTCTGACTGTACTTTTCCCAAGATAGCCAGAATGGAACAGATTCATTAAACTTTCATTAGACCACATCTTACCTTGACTTACACACACTAGTGTTTAAATTGCATACGTAGTGAATAGTTAACTATGATTAAATCCAATAAAGACGAGCAAAAATCTGTCTCTTTTCTGACAAAAGGTAAACACCATCTCCCTTCTCTTTTGGACAGCATACAGAATTCACGGATATGACAAAGCATGTTCAGAAATAAAGGCTTTATTATCAATCAACTTGCCCAATCTTGGGCGATAAAAGAAATCCACACTACGGTTTCTGCAGAATGCTTACAGAATACTAACCAGGGTTGGGGGTAGTGGTCCCTACCATTGTCTGCAAATTGTACAATAAGCCACATGACCGACAACTGGCAGGTAAACAGGAAATTATGTGTGTGAGAATCCTGGTATGGCACTGTGGGTTAATGATCTGGACTGCAAAGTCGGTGATTCAAGCTCACCAGTTGCTCCTCAGAAACCCTATAGAGGGTTCACTATGGGTTGGAGCCAACTTGATCACACTGAACAGCATACCTAGCTAAGGAGTCAATACTCTGGCATGATGCAAATCAACTTCCCAATACTCGGTAACACTCCAGTTGACCGTGGTTCTATTTTAATCTCAGTTCTTTCAAATTTCAAGTTCTTTACATGACTCTGAAAAAATTAAGTAATGGCTGTTGTTATGTCAACTCCATTAAGCAGAACATTAGACTAACTGAATCAAACCAGTTGTTTTGGATGCTTCATAGGTAATTCCAGTAATGTTTTCTTTTCATTCACTGTGGGGAATAAAACTTTTCTAATGCCCATTTGTTGAAGGTAAAATTCATTTTTGCAGTTGTAATAGTATAAATTGTGATGGAACACGTTGCTGCAAAAATAATATTCTTTGTAAAGAAATCTGAGCAGATAGTCTTGTACTGACTGTAACAATTCACAATTTATTATGTACTTTGAACTGTATTAAATTCACATGTTGAATAATAAGTCATCTAAGTTGACTATAGTTAAAGTTCAGAAATGTCTTTATGGATCTTGTAGCGAGAAGGGATGCATTATTTTATTTTGTTCAAAATCACTGCAGTTTTTAAGAAACATATAGAGCAAAGCTGAACCCTACTTTTGTTGTTGCTTAGGGCTGCTGAGTATGTAATGACTCATAGCAACCCTATACAAGGTTTCTGAGAGAAGTGTGTTTGAACAGTCAATTTCTGGTTAATCCTAGGTATGCTGTTCAGTGCCACAATAGGACTCCTTTGAAACTTTTAGTAAATAATAATCACTGATAATAGGAAGATGCTGAAAAAATTATCAGAATAAAACTGAAGAATTGAAAAAACGATGCAGGCTCCAACAAGATCAGAAGTCTAAAAATGCACTTCAAACATTTCATTCAACTTGTAGGAAAGTTTTTGATAGCGCTTCCAGTTCTAACTGTTGTTAAGTGCCATTAAGTTGGTTCCAACTCATAGCGACTCTAATATGATTTCTGAGGAGTGGCTGGTGGATTTGAATCGCCGACCTTGTGGTTCAAAGCAACCTTGTGATTCAGTGCTTATCCTACAGTGCCACAAATGGATAAGCTTACATTCTGTAACAGAATAGGATGAAATGCGACAGATTACACATCGAAGGCTTTAAATTTGGTAAAACATCAAGAAGAATTAGACTATGTTGTGTCTTATGAAGTGTATGTTGAAGAAAAGCAACCCAAATAAATGGAAGCAAGACTGTGCCCAGGAAGATGCCTGGGTTGAAACTATCCTCTACTTAACATAATTAGTTTGAAGTTTGAGTGACCTCAAGCTCCTAAAACAGTATTTTCTCAATTAAAAAGTTAAGAGTCAACAGAAGGTGTTAATTTCAGCCAAAAAAAGGTACTTGGATTAAGATTACAATTTTATGGGGGAAAACCCCCCTCAAACCAAAACCAAACCATCCAAAAAACTGCAAATGAGACTACTAGTGGTTTCTAAGTGCCATCTGAGTTAGTACGGACTCAGCAAGTGCAGAAAGTCTCATCTTTCACCTGTGGAGAAGCAGTAGGCTTGAACTACCTACCAGTGCTTATCCTATGGAATCACTGCACTCCCCATACACATATTAGGAATACTTTACACTGCCTTTTAAAAATGTATACAAATCTGAATAGAGGTATTTGATATTCTCCCCAGAAAACTAAATTTGTTAATCAATAAATGTTGCTTTAAAGTGCCGTCGAGTCAGTTCCGACCCATAGTGATCCTGTATAGGGTTTCCAAGGAGCAGCTGGTGAGCTTGAACCGCCAACCTTGCAGTTCAAACGACTTTGCAGTCTGGCACCACACCAGGACTCCATAAATACATACTTCAAAATATTTTTTACCACATGGCACAATGAAGAAAGAATAAAAATAATGCCAAGATTTCTGATCTGACCAAACATAGTAAGGTTTCAGAGGATGTGGAGTCCTTGTCTGGTGCTATGG